GTGTATTGAATAACAAAAAGGTTTTGTTCGTAGGTATGCGGTATTTTTTGTGATAATATGATTTAACAATTACAAAATGTTTGTAGTAGGTTACCTAGTCACATTTTAAGCTATAGTTACCCTCCTCCTTTTTGGGAAGTCAGTTAAAAATATTCGAACAATAATAGAATGCTTCGAAATTTGATTTATACCATCCATACTCACTCTCTACCTTTTGAATATAGAACGTAGTTTGAGTGAACTACCGGCCCACCCTTAGAATAACAATTCAAAAACTATCTATAACAAATTGATGTCCACGAGCAATCGATACACTTTAACTATGAAAAATTCCGGTTAAACTTAAATTCATTAGTTAAAACAATTGCTTGTCTAGACTAACTGGATGAATTGAACGGCAAACCTTTCAATTTCAAAGTCAGTTTTTAAAAGTGTTTCCAAAACTCACCGTGGAATGGATCGCCAGATTCCAAACGTAATATAAGACACGGTTTCGAATCCGTTATTAGTTGATCTAACAAACGTTTTCAACTTTGCATACCTACCTACTTATTATATTATAAACGGTCATATAAAAGAAATGTACCTATCTGTGGCCAAGAACAAAATGTAACCAATTTGATGTAGGAAGAAATCAATTGACCCTTAGTACATCCCATTGCGTTATTAAAAATATATGTATAGAAGGTACCTAAGTAGGTACTAACAGCGGGAGATTCTTCGCAGATTTCTTTTCAACTTTAAATCGAGCGTTAATTAGTTGGCCTGAGGACTTTGTGCCTTTTTTGCGCGAGCCCAGTGGCTCACGTAATCAATTAAACTTCTTTTTAATCTCGACTCAACGGTCGCCGCGGTCGTTCAAGCGCACCCACTTTGACTTTTAAAAGTTCTGGTTTGGCAAACGTATTTTTTGCAAGTTTGTTCCCTGTTTGTACATGCATTAGTCAATCAAAGTTTCATTGTGTTACTTTTTCTTTATCTATATTACATTCTGCATTATTTGCAAAGCAAACAGGAGTTGTTTTTGCTTTTTGATAAACGTTTAAGTTTATAACATTATAAAAAGACAGCTTGCCTTGAGAGTTATGATTTCTGAAAAGAATATAATTAAACGTACCTAATTGAAATATTTAGTTGACAACCTTCCTGTTAGAATACCAGCAGAGTAAGGTCCGTTCCCCACTTATATCAACAAACTTGCAGCCTCCCGGACCTCGTTTCAGCTTTAGCCGACATTTTAATTGAGGCAAAAAAACGTCTATTAATTATAATTTTATTACAGCTGACCTCGAGTTTTACGGCGCGATGACATTAAATTTGGTTAAGCCGTAAATAATTATATTTCTTGAGTTTTTTATGACCTTTGCGGACTATATAAGTAATTTAGATGTAGGTACCTAACATTAGACATTCTTGGTGCAAAAACTGTGGGAAATCTTTTCACATCGAACACACATAATTGCATCAATTATTGTCATCTTTTGTGATTTTAATTGCAGATTCACAAAAATACTGTGTTACATACCTACTACTTGTTAAAAAAATGCATTCTAGTAGACCACTTTTTCACATATTATATCCTTAATACTTGTCAATAACTTAATTTTAACAACACATTATTCAGTTAGCTGTAACAACAATTTGGGAACTGCGAACGTGTCACTTTAATCCACGTTAATGTGGACGAACGGACATACAACACAATTTGTGTATTATTAGAGCAGCCGGGAGATTACGAGGAATTTCCTTCAAGAGGGGGATATAGTTTGGTTGAGGGACAAGTTGACAACTTACGCGGTAATACTAGTATAATCTTCTCTGCTATCTAAATAATTATTTTATTTTATTAATTGAACTGTCAAACACCAAGCGGTCACCGGTGACCGCAACCTATTGTTCTATAATTGTGTCTACAAAACCGGTACTCGACGAGTTAATTACGTAACTATCGTACCTGTCACAATATTTGTATTGCTTAAGCAGTCACATACTTTCAGCCCAACCGGTAGAAAGAGGCATTGTGCTCTGAAATTTGATAGACATTTACAAAAAATCAACCGTTTGTAACATTACAAACGTGAAAACTAAACTGTAGGGAGAGTTTAAGAGCAATAATAAATCACAAAAATATTTGGTATATTGACCTGGACTGAATGACCCACTTCGGACCATATATCGGAATAAACAATCATCCGGACAGGACACCATCGCTTTTTAAACTCTAAAAATAACATATTTCAAAACTGGTTCAGTCGTAGTGTACCAGGTTGCCACAGGTACGATTCTAGCGAAGTTAATGATTTCAAACTCTTTTTTGCCAAGCTGTAAATGCTTCTTCCACTCTCCATTATCAGGCATTTCCCGATAAAACGCTCCTTTTTCTTACACATAACAATTTACACAACCTATTTAGGTTACGTTATTTCATGCAAAATAATTGTTTTGAAAATGTGTATCGCTTCATCTCATGACTGGGGACTCTCAAATCCTGGTACGAAGTCTGCGGTAACCGTTTCTGTGGTTTTTGTTCTGAGCAAATATGATTAGGTTCACTTACTGGATTACACTAATCTAGCCCCCGCCGAGCGTTTACAGAATATTTGATCACATCATCCACTACCGGGTAAGCAGAATACGTGGTGAAACAAACTTTTAGAGCTTCAGAAATAAACGTTAGCTTTTCGTATTTTGTTATTACGACTGTTAGGCGTGGACTAACGACTATTCTTTTTTTATAAAATGCGTCATTTAATAATTTTTAAATGACATGCATTTTTAAATCACTGTTTAAACTGTTATTAATTTTAATTCAATTGAATACAATTTCTAGGCACGTACAGGGTGTTCTAACAGTGATAGAATTCTGACTGTTCATTCTGAATTATGCTAGTTTATACTTGGTTTCTTCCATCTTTGAATTCCATCCAGGTCCATTTTACGTTTATATTAAAAAATAAACTTTATGCCGACGCAGGGCCACCAGCCATTCGTTCGCAGTTTAAAAACTTCAAAATTGGGTGCTTTCTCGAGTCCGCGACGGCATCGCACAGTCGTCGCTAATTTCCCATGAGGCATCTCACGGCGAACCGCAAACTGCCGCGATAAACAACCCAGAGGCTGAAAGAATTAATAGGCCCTACTCTATATCTTTTTTATTTAGTTACAAAGTTACATTACTTTTTTAGGGCTCTGAATATTTTTAAGAGAGCGTAAGTATTAAGTACACAGACATACCTAATTTACCCCTACTTAATACTTACCTACGTTATTACTTTACTTACCTAATTAACTGCGCAGAACTGGTTGGCAGACTAACAGCCAGTTTCTATAATTTACAATTCACCATTTTTTGCTTATTTTCGACATGAAAAAATAGGTACCTACCTATGTTTACAACCGACAACTGACTGTTCCGTTGGTCAACCGACCTTCACCAATGAGTGAACGACGAAGGAGAGGATTATCTTCACGCTCAGCAGACGAATTGGAGATTGAATATCGCATTTTAAATGGCTTAGACTTGACAAAAGTCGGCTCTTCCGACACCCGCGAACGAGAAGATTATGGTTCACTAACTGCCAATTTCAATAAACTATCTTAATCCAAAATCTCTCGATATAGGTAGCTAAGCTAGTGGTGGCGTATCATAACATTATTTAATTATTTCACAAACAGGACTGCAGGAACAGTATTTTCCCTAAAAACAATTACTGAATACCGTAAACCGTACCTACATACATTCATTTACGCGGGAAAACGAAACATTTTAATTTCTTTAATTCTTTTCGGCGTCGAGAAAATACCCTGTTACACGAAATTAAAGTAAAAAGTTAATAAACATGTCTCTTGGTTTAATTAAAACGTTAGAAAGCAAGAACCATGTAATTTGTAAGAAATGCACAACTTAGAATACCTACAAAACTGAATATAAGAAATTGTAATTTGCGTGAAAATTACCCTTTTATAACAAAATATATCCATGTGGACAGTTAAATAATATATTGCATGATTTACGCAATTTCAAAAATGTCGACGTGAATCTGATCTTAAAAATAACGGACCCAGTCACAATATAACAAGAAACTTCTTAAAGACGCAGATTATAGATTATTTCAACAGTGTACCTAAATATCATAAAACTGCTAAGTATGCTGTCTTACTATCCATTGTAAAACATGACATCTTGAATGTGTTAATTTTGAGTGACTGCTGTTCCTAAACATGCATTGTTATTTGTATCTACTACACACAGAATGTGTACTGTGTAGTATAGGAGTGGACGCAGGGATGCCTCTAATTCCATTGGGTCCAACAAATTTGTTCCGGTCTGGTGCAAATAGGTCGTGCCGCCCGTCGCTCTTACAATATGTATTGTATTCTAGTATATGTTCCTATACATTTATACACATACATGTCCACTTTATTTAAATCTAGTTAAATTGTCAAACACCAAGCGGTCACCGGTGACCGTAACCTATTGTTCTATAATTGTGTCTACAAAACCGGTACTCGACGAATTAATAGCGGATTGATGTTTGACATGGTTTTGTATGCATAAAAAGTGTTTTTCTTAACATGTTAAATAATATGTTTACTAACGGTCAAATTCCCTTAATATAATTACCTACCTAATTACGCAACTACGTACTTAATAAAATATGGTATCTACTCAATTCGCCTTGTCTGATGGATTGCTCAAGATTCACTCTATAATAAATTGGAATATACTTAAGGTATGTAGAAAATAGTAATATAAAAACTAATAAAACATCAATTTTTGTACTTAATACAAAAATATTAAAATGAAAACAATAAAATAACAACTCTACGCACAGCACATTCACAGAATGTTGAGTAATCGAAAGTTAAACTTTCGCGCGTATCATATCGCTGTGCCAAGTTGACAGTAACAGTAACAGTATTGACACTGTCAACTGTCAAACTACAATGACGGTTGAATGTTGAAATCAGAATGATGTGAGTAGAATGTTTATAAAATTATATTCTCTTTGGTGATAACACCGGCGATTTGTGTGAACAATCGAACTGCTAATAATATGATTAAAATTGTAAGTAATTTATAAAAAACAACAGAGGATAGAAACAATCTATAAAGTTTGTGACTTTTGACCTTATAGATATCAACGTCGCTCCTACTTATTATCAGTGTTATCAACGCCGCCTGTGGTTGTCTGATTTATCCAGTTTTATCATTGTTATACATATACATCTGAGATCGCTCAGCTGCCGAAGTTTAATAATTTTATTATGGAATTAACATTTTCTAAAATGACAGTGGACACGAATCTTGCACAGGTAAAAACCAGTTTATTTATATTAAATTACTATGGAAGGAGGGAATTTAGTTAAAAATGAAGTTGGTGTAGTTTTTAGACCGTTTGAGCTGTTTATAACTATAGAGTTGCTATGAAATTCCAACTCAAAGTTAATCAATGTTCCAAGCAACCTAATAATGATAACTGCTCCTACTTAAGAATATTGATTACCTATCTCAAACTAGCCATTAATATACAATAAACGTAAAACATGTAACTTACCTTAACTTAGATTTTTATACTTTTAGGAATATGTCAAAAGGAATAAAGCTCTGTCAGAGTTATATAATGATTATGAGGGCAATGTTAAGAAAAGTCCCTCTAGATATGAAGGAGTTTTTGTAGAAAGCTCCAATTCTAACGACAGAGATAAAATACAAAATATTATGTGGAACTTGGCTATAAACTTGAAACAGAGCAGTGACCTGATAGTACAACTGGAATATCACTTCAGAAAAATTCCAGTAGAAGACACCAAGGCACAATTAAATGTCCTCATACAGTACATCAACAGCTATCCAGCATGGACAGATAAGTTTTTGTCATGTAAGTATTATTGGTAACTCCTTGTTTCCTTTTCTGTTGGTTTTCAATGTCATACCCACCCACACACCCCACATGTATCGTACACATTTAATATTTTAATGCAATGGTTCCCAACCTGTGGTCCGTGGACCGCCAGTGGTCTGCAGAAAACAAAGTATGATCTAACGAATGAAAAAAAAAATTACACAAAACTCTTCTGTCCCATAAATTCCACAGTTAAAGCTAGAATTAAACTTATTATTTCAAAGGAGACAACTGAGAGGAGCAACTGATTTCAATAATCAAAGTCACTGTTCTTATATGAACTAACCCCAAGTAAAGACTGAAGAAATACTTAGACCCCACATTAAAAAAGTAATAGTAGTATTTCCTAACCTAACAAGAATGATGAAAAGTGGTCCTTGACCAAGAAAATTTGGTAACCTCTGCTTTCATCAACAGCCCATAAGTGCCCGCTGCTGAGCAAAGCCTTTTCCCACATGGAGAAGGTTTGAGCATTTATCACCATGCTTGCTCATTGTGGGTTGGCGATTTCAAACTAATAATTAGAAAATATAAGTCCAGGTTTCCTCACGATGTTTTCCTTCACCGTTTGTCAGTGGTGTCTAAATAATCTTAGAAAGTATTGGTACTTGCCGTTGGTAGGTTTCGAACCCACACCCACATGCATGAGTCTTAACCTCCGGGCCACCACGACATGGCAGCGACAGGGCAACCTCTGCTTTAACAGAATTTAAACTAAATGCATTCCACTCCACCTGTTGTTAGAAAGAATAATGAACTCTGTCCATCCAACTTTCTTTCAAAACAATTTTTTCTCTCTACCAATCTATCTTTAATCTTATTAAACGTAACATGTCTTCTGTTACTTGACAAAAGGCTCACTAGATGTAAATTCTTTGTTATAGGGTACAAGCTTCCATGTTGAATTTTGTTCAATGATACATCATAATGAGACTTGGCGCAGTGACAGCAACTGGCTGCCGTGCAACGTGTCGCGGGTTCGATTCCCGCACGGAACAACTTTTTGTGTGACCCACTGATTGTTGTTCCGGGTCTGGGTATCATTTGTATGTGAACTTGTATTTTTGTAAACGCACCCACAACACAGGAAAAAATCCTACCATGGGACAACATAAGAAAAAAAATCCTTTTTTTAAGATTATTAAAACCTTTGCTCATATCTACACTGATCTCTTCTCAAGTATACAATTTGTACTAACAGACAACATATACCCCAAAAACAAGATTCAATTTGTGGAAGCAATAAAGAAAACTGATCAAAATCCTTTCAATTCTTAGGTATTGAAGACTTTTTGTTTCGTGATCATCTTCTTGTATTGACACATGTGGTGTTAATGATGGTACGTAATGACAAGATCACTGTATACACATCTACCAAGGAGCCCGTGGCAATCTGTCACCTGTTTGTAACTCTATGCCGTGAAGCTGGGTGAGTCAACTAAGTTTTATAAACAAAAGGGCTTGGTATGAATTTGTTTTATGTTTATAGTAATCATAAAAAAAGTTTGGATGCTCTGGATTGGTTAGTTCATTGGAGCCGGCCAATCAGAGCGACAAACGCTATCTAAAACTCGTACTTAGCCCTCTGAATGTGTCCGGCTCGACGTGCAGGAGAAGGAACGGGGTGGATTTTAGTCAGTAAGAGTCTGACACTCCCTCCCGCCTCACCCAGGCGGGAGTAGTAATTCGACGATTTTCCCCCCTTAAAAAAAATGTTGTCTTCCTCCCTTATCAAATATTTTCAAAATAATTGAATTATGTATATATCCTATCATTATATCCTACTTAATTAATTGAAATATCACAACCACCATGGGTGTACCATACGCTGTTACTGAACTAAACAGTCAGATACCATTTAGTTTCAAACTAGTAAACTTTCTTAACTTTGTATATTCTTTACAGATACCAGACTATACAGTTAGATTGTCGAAATGATGGCTTCACGACAAACAGAGAAGATATCAGTAAGTACCACACATAATGGTACATCTTACATGTTTTCGGCTTACTCACGTAATTATTTGACGAGGAACTCGACTAGTTTCAAGCCATGCTAGAGGCTCATATTCATGAACAGCATTTCGCGACCCGCGACGCGGCGACTGTAGCCGAAGCCAAAAACATAATAATTTATTTAGTACGTCTCACGAAAGTTATAATACTAACGTAACCTTTCTATATAGTACAATAGCATGAAGTAGAATACCCAGTGTTTATGTCACACATTGACAATATCAGTTTTTATTATTTCAGAGCACGGTACTGTGGCCGTTGTCTCCGAGGATGCCGATGTCGACTCTGCAGTTGATAAGTTTCTCTCGTCGGCCAAACAGGTACAATAAATTATAACACATATCATATATAACACCACGAGTTTTATCCACGAAAGGGTAGGCAGAGGTGCACATTACGGCCCTTAATGCCACTGTACAACGCAACACCCACTTTTCACTATTTATATTATGAGTCCCATGTAATAGGGGGTGAGCGTATTGCCATATACCGAGCACAGTTCCAGACTCCGTGCTACCACTGAGAAAAACCCAGTTATACTTTTCCAGACTCAGAACCTGAGACCCCTTGCCCGGCAGTTGCACTTGCGACCACTCGGCCAATGAGGCAGTCATAAATAAATAATAAATTATAATACCTGCCATATTATGGCACTAAGTCTACCTAATGTACTAATGAACTTCACTTCTGTATAAGTGTGATCCTAATAAATACCTTGAAGAAACAAATGCATGGCCACAAACGCATAATAGCGTTATGCCACAAAGGAGTTATTATCTACGAAAGCTAACAAGCTTATTCCTAGTAATAATTTATCAACGAACTTATGTTACAGGTGCCCTGGTACTTGCGCAGGATTCTGGTACAAGAGAGTGTTTACAAGCAATTTAAGGAAGCACTCAACTGGAAATGTTCTTTGAAACAAAACGTAAAGAACCCTGTTCCACCCAGCGCATTGTGTTCACAAGTTCTCACCTATGAAGGACGAACGTTCTTCGTAGACCCTGTGGAGGTTGTGGAGGAGGAGCAGTCGGTCATCACTGTCGAAGCTTACAGGACAACAAAAGAAATGATATCGATGCTACAACAAGACAATCCTCACTACTTGTCATTATGGATAAATGGAATAGAACAAATTAATGAAGTGACTCAGAGTACGAACTCAGCTGCCGTGTGGGTGAACAACATCGGCGACATCAGAGGACCCCCAACCGTAGCAAAAGCGCTCTATCCCTCATCTCCAAATATTAATAAAGAATATTACTATAGAAGATTCGACGACAAAAACGATAAGATCATCAAGCTTGTCAAGCTCTCTCAGTCGTGGTCGAAACTTGATATTGAACGTCGTCGCGATATTCTTATCAATGTACTAGGAAAATATATATCATCTGACTCCCAAGACAACGACTTTAATGGCGTAAGGAATTCACTTATGAACTTCACAAACGAATCTTTTGTGCAAGCTGGAAAAGATTATACTTGTACTGGAGTGTGGAAACCTGTAGGCTTCATTCCAATCTCAAAACCCCTGCTGTCTTTAAGTCTAGCAGTTCATTTAATCTTACAAGGTAATGCGTTAGTTTTGTACGGACTTTCAACTCCAGCAGAAGCCCCGTACGTCGAACTATTTGAAGCAGCAGGAGTGCCTGTTGTTATTGCTCAATGTAGTTCCACTGGAAAATTCCAAGCAAAAATTTATCTTTCAGGCGGGGAAACTCAAACCCTGCGAGTCATTTGGACAAACTCTGGAACAATTTTCGCCAACTAATTTTACCTATTCGTACATTTAAAATAATAAATAAGTAAATAGTGTTTAAGCATCTTATACATTTCGTTAACTATATTTACAAGTTTATACAAAATATTATATTTTTTACGTTTCTGTTTTATTACAGTTGTTTGTTTTATTTACACTCGTACCTAAATCGTCAATCAGACTTAAGAGATATTATTTATACACATTAAGCAATCGTATATAGGTACATATATTATGTATATACAAAAGGTCTTATTCCACGAGGCCGAATCTACTGTCTACAGTGCGCCACCTACTGCGAATCTATGCAATACATGTTTTCGCTTTCATCTCTGTTTACCACTTTTATAACCTGGACCTGGACTTCTGAAACCAATCGCATTGCCAGTGCAATTTCAGACCAAGAAAATCTCAATAATTATTCAATGTCAAAACTATACAATCTATTTTAGCTGTTAAAATAGCATTCAGATACGGAAGCCAAACTCAATACCATTTAGTTCAATCAATATCCACGCAATACGGATGCAATGAGCGCTAGTGTTGCAACTCAAGAGTACGATATTTCACAATATCAATGTCGATCGATCGGAATTGGAATCAAGAGTAAGCGTAGGGAGAAATTAGAAAACCCTCATCAATCATCTAGAAGTTCCATTACAGCAGGCGACAGCCAGGTTTCGAACCGGTGTCATCATGCTTTAGAGGCTGGAACCTTAACCCGGCTCAAACCAGCGTAGATATTATGTGTAGGTACAATGAAATTCTCAGTAACTAGTAGGTAATGCAATTTAAAAAAATATATCTTGTTAGAAGATATACCTAATTTAGAGCACACTGCTGTTACATGTACCCAACTTCTTTCATAGGTTTCATTAGTTATTCACGTCTACCTAGGTATAAAATCTAATAACGTATGATCCAACGGGGCGCGAGCGCCGAGCGGCCCGTTTGATATCACAATCGCTTGATTGACAATAAACGCGAAGCTAATTAAGAAACCTATTTTGTGTCGCCGTTCAACGTGCAGGGGCACTGGCGCACACTGGCGGTTACATTTAGCCGTTAAAAATAGTCCAATCAAATGTCACGCCCGTCAATAAATAGTTCCAATTTCGAAGACCAAACAAAAGATGGTACCCAAGCATTTATTATGACGTTTACAAGTAAATACGATAATAATCGTGTCAGAAAACGTGTAATTTGTATTCTTAGTATAAATACGTTTTTTTCGCGTTTGAAATAATCTAATTATGAATCGAAATTAGTGAGTATAGTTTAGTATGAAGACTTCCAATATGACCAGGAATAAGGGACAAGTATATAGTGTTGGAAATTATCTGATGACTGGCAAGGTACTGGGAAAAGGACACTTTGCGAGAGTTGAAGAAGCCACACATAGGATAATAGGAAAAAAGGTAATCTTTTGTCATTAATTCGTCAGCAACTGTCGCAGTTATTTCATGGACGTGAGCACCACACGTAGGAACTGACGTAGTGACACTGAGTGAAACATTAGCTGTCCTTGGCTTAGTTTACTAAATGATGTGCCACGTCAATATCTCTCGTTTGCATTCTTGGCATGGTCTTGTCTCACCGACCTGCCTGAAGGATTACATTTGAACTAACGAAGTGTATTAAAGTAAATACTGTCCCAACAAAATTCCGAAGTTCCCATGTCTGGACACCATATTATTATGATCAATATGTAACAATTTCTTATCTTTTTAAGGTGGCTATTAAGATCATAGATTTGACGTGTATTAAAGAGGAGTATGCCCGTCGAAACTTACACCGCGAACCGCGGGTTATGGCGAAGCTACGGCACCCATGCATCGCGGCTCTCTACGAAACTATGATGGTTAGATTCTGAACTAAACTAATTGCATTTGACGAAGAACCCAATAACTTAAATAAGCGTAAACTTTGACTTTGATTTCCTCGCCCAAACTAAGTATTGAGGAAGATAAAGTATGGGATCCCTTAGTATTCATAAAAGCACCGACCTACTCGATTTATTATTGGTAGTGTTTCCCCTGGGTCTCGTAAGAGCAGCACCGTAGACTGGGCAACACCTGACTATAATAAACTGAACCTTTTAATCCACCGTCTCCAAGCCTGTCAAGCGATAAAAAGATTACCTATGACAAACACCCTCTGATATCTCATATATGCCCATAGGACTTTGGGCCTCCTCTATATCAGATTGTTGGACAGCCGTGGACGGCAGTCAGTCAAGTTTGGTCAATAAAAACACTGGGTACTTCGTCGGAGGCGTTCGGTTGTAGCGCGCGGTGTGGTTGCAGCACGGGCCGCGGCTGTACGTGGTGATGGAGGCGGCGGGCGGCGGCGACCTGTGCGCGCACGTGCTGGGCGCGCGCGGCGCGGCGCGCGGCCTGCCCGAGGGACGCGCGCGCGCGCTGGCCGCGCAGCTCGTGTCCGCCGTGCGACACATGCACGCGCGCGGCGTCGTGCACCGGTACGACGCACGATCACTACTATTATATTCTAGAGTGCGTCGTAAAATTGCATTGACATCATAGTTTTACTTTTTTCAGTGACTTAAAAATGGAAAACATCATGTTGGACAGTACTAAGCAATTCATCAAAATAGTCGGTGAGACAACTTCACTAATGAAGTTAAAATAAACTGATTAATGAAATAAAATATAATGATATAATTCGTTTCTGGCAGACTTCGGACTATCAAATATGTGGAGCGGCGGGGCGGCGCTGCGGACTCCGTGCGGATCACTGGAGTACGCGGCCCCTGAACTCTTCGTGGACGGACGGCGATACGGACCTGAAGTCGACCTATGGAGCATGTATACTTCTCATTTTTCACTTGTTTCACTTAAAAGCGCTTTAAAATGTAATAGATGTATAATATACCTAACTGACATGTTTGACAGACTGGCGGATAATTCTGTATGACGTTCTTATAGTATTTCGATGAATGGGACATGTAATGGTTACAGAGGCGTGATCGTGTACGGCATGGTGACGGGCGGGCTGCCGTTCACTGGCGCGGAGGGCGGCGAGGGCAAGTCACGGCCGCAGCTCCGCGCCGCCATCTCGCGCGGCTTCACGCGCAAGCAGCGCGCCGCACTCGCCTGCGTCACGCCAGGTCCGCACATACCACAATACACTAGCCGCCGAAATCAATCAAAAATCTAGGTCGATCTTTGTTTTGACATAATTCCATAAAACGAATATCATAAATAAATCTTATATAATTCATCATGTCAGCCAGAACACGTGCATCCATAAACTGAACAATGACCTCTCCAATAACTTTGTTTATGTAATTATTAAGATTACAAGTGTCGCACTCACGCAGGTGAGGTATCTAGATAATGAAACACGGGCCTGTAATGGAACTTTACTCCAAATTGAATGTACGAAAGTTCTTTATTATTTTTAACCCATAAAAATTAGTCTAACTTCAATTAATTGCAAGTCTCTTTAACACTCAACTACTAAAAGCAACCAGTAATGTTAAAATAAAAATAGACAATATTCACTTACATAATGATTTAATTACAAAATTTAAAGAAACATGAACTTAAAATACGTTGGTTCCAAGTTAATATATTAGTTTAAGGGCCGCGGTTCCAGCCAGTGGAATAGTAAAATATGTCGATAACATTTGAGCGTACAGTTCATTCAGTGTTATCGAATGTCTTTAGGCTCACTTCACGGACACACAAACCTGGTTCATTCATAACGCTCGGATACTGGAGCCAAACGCCGCGCTCATTTTGGTCCTGAAATAAAACAAACATTCTATCGTTATTTTAATTCTCAATCATTTCATTACAATAAGGAAGGTAATAGGCGATTTGTAATTGCAGCTTATGCTTGACATTGTTTACAGAGTGTAAGGCGTTTATTCAACATCTGTTGGAGCCAAACGTAGAGCTCCGGATGAAGATAGAGGAAGCATCTCGTCATCGCTGGGTGCGGAGACCTGGCATGAGGATGAAGACACATCCGTTCGGCACTATAGACCCGGTCGTCAACAGAGAGGTACCACCCCGACCGCCCCGCGACACGTTGTAGACCGGCGTCAGTTAGCTTAATGCATAACTGTTTGCAGATATACAGACAGATATCGGATCTGTGCTCGATGCCAGTGATAGACGTGGTGACGGAGATAAAGTCGGAGCCATTCGGGCCCCT